CTCTCTCCCTCCCTCCCTCCCCCCTCTCTCCCTCCCTTCCCCCTCTCTCTTTCATTTTCTTTTTCTCTCACATCTATTTATAATAATAATAATAATAATAAAGTTGGAAGAGACCTTGGAGGTCATCTAGTCCAACCCCCTGCTCAGGCAGGAAACCCTATACCATTTCAGACAAACGGCTGTCCAGTCTCTTCTTAAAAACTTCCAGTGTTGGAGCATTCACCACTCCTGGAGGCAGGTTGTTCCATTGGTTAATTGTTCTAACTGTCAGGAAGTTTCTCCTTAGTTCTAAGTTGCTTCTCTCTTTGTTTAGTTTCCACCTGTTGCTTCTTATCCTGCCTTCAGGCGCCTTGGAGAATAGCTTGACTCCCTCTTCTTTGTGGCAGCCCCTGAGATATTGGAACACTGCTATCATGTCCCCCCTCGTCCTTCTCTTCGTTAAACTAGACATACCCAATTCCAGCAGCCATTCCTTACATGCTTTATCTCCCCAATTACCTTCCATTCAGCTGGCCAATATTATCTGTTTCTTTCAGAAATCACCTTTCACACTGGAATCCTTCCTTCAACCCAGTTGTCATCTAAAACCTACTTTAAAACACAGGGTGGCAATCTTGAGTCAACATGAGTCTCACCAGACAACTCCTCTGATGTCTCCTGCAGCACATATTCTTTGTGAACCATATCCTGTGGTTGGTTTTCCTTTTACCACCACATTTACATGCTAGAAGCTGGTTTCTTTGTGATAGGAAAGAGTCGTATAGCCTTTAACGTTCTTTCACAATGTTGGCAGGGCAGCTCTGAAAGTGACAACACCCTCTTTAAAATCCTCCAAAGAGAGGATTTTCTTTGGGGGGGGGGTTACTACGTTCATTCTTCATCTGAAACAATGTGGCTGTGGTCTGTGCTCATGATCATCATTTCACTTTTAAGTAAGTATTTATTTCTTAACAATGTGAGATTACGGGTTTTTTTGGGATGGGCATATGCTCATTTATTTGAATCCTTTGAAAGGAGGTCACATGGTGGGATCCCCTGGAAGCTTTCTGAGAAATTGGCCGTAAATTATCTGCAAGGAATTACAAGAATTTCTTTACAGCAGTTACAAATAAATGCATTTTTTAAAAATACATAAATCTATTACCTATCATCCTTTTCAAGAGAGCATCCCAATTTCCTTCCTTACGTATTTTATCCTTTCTACTTACTTAATCCATACATCACCAGTTATCCCAAAGGTGCTTTTTCACAAGACAACTGGACTTCCTTGTTTTTTAATAATAATAATAATGATAAAGTTGGAAGTGACCTTGGAGGTCATCTAGTCCAACCCCCTGTTCAGGCAGGAAACCCTATACCATTTCGGACAAATGGCTATCCAGTCTCTTCTTAAAAACTTCCAGTGTTGGAGCTTTCACCGCTTCTGGAGGCAGGTTGTTCCACTGGTTAATTGTTCTAACTGTCAGGAAGTTTCTCCTTAGTTCTTGGTTTCTTCTCTCCTTGATTAGTTTGCATCCGTTGCTTCTTGTCCTGCCTTCAGGCGCCTTGGAGAATAGCTTGACTCCCTCTTCTTTGTGGCAGCCCCTGAGATATTGGAACACTGCTATCATGTCCCCCTCATCATTCTCTTCATTAAACTAGACATACCCAATTTCAACAGCCTTTCCTTAGCCTCCAGTCTTTGAAGACGTTTTGCTTTTCATCCAAGAAGCTTCTTCAGCATTGACTGGATGGTGTCAAAGTTGAAGAAGCTTCTTGGATAAGAAGTGAAACAACTTCAAAGAAAAAAAAAACCCAAGAAAGTCCAGCTGCCTCGTGAAAAAGCACCTTTGGTATAACTGTGACCTGGATGGCTGAGAATCTCCATAGACATACAGTACATCATCAGTTCATTTGCAGCAAAAAGTCCATGGAGTCCATAAAGGGTTTCCAGTCTCTCCCACTCTATAGCAAGCCAAGAATTCAGTTTAGCCATCTCTGGAAATTTTGTCATCTTCCCCAGCCATTCCTCCCTTGTGGATATTTCAGAATCTTTCCAGAATCTTTGTGTGATTAATAGTTGTGCTGCAATCAGATGGAGATGTCTTTTCTAGACACGATCACTTTGTATGTAAAACAAAACCCCTTGCTTTTTCCTCTCCTCTACTGGTTTGTTGCACTTATGTTATTAATGTGTGTGCAGTGTGTTTGCTGATGGTCATGATGGAAAGAATATAAAACTAAGACAGAATTTATTCAAGGTAGACCCTCATAATTAGCATAGATGTTGGAAGATGGTGAGAAACAGGGTTGCAGCAACACCAAGGTTATTGCTGAAATAAGGGAGAAGGAATTACTTGTCCACCTCTCCGCCTAACCGCATGAATTCTACATTATCCTTTGTCCAGGAAGAAGCAGAGGACAGTCAGTGGACCAAACATCTGGCATTGTGGCTGCTATTGAAGGACAACATGTATTTCTCTATTGTTCCTATGAAGCACAGACTATTGGCTCATATTACCCATATTGGTACATTCAGCACCCTGGTCAACCTCTGAAATTTCTTTTGGGATCATATGAGAACAATCCACAGGGCTTCCAGGCTACTCACCATAAAGACAAGAAAAACGGGACTTTCAATTTGCAGAAAGATTCCAGTCAACTGAAGGACTCTGCTGCCTACTTCTGTGCCTTCAATGACACAGTGTGACAAAGCAGAGGAGAAGCCAACAGAAAAAGTACAACATTGAAGCTGAGTTCAGAAATGAAAGCTCCCATGAATATAGTTGTATTTGCATCCAGATCAACTCTGCAATGGAACTGGGATGTAGAAAAATCACATTACCCCTTCAGTATACCTTGCGCTAGAGCAGGGGTAGGCAACCTTGGCTCTTTTATGACTCGTGGACTTCAACTCCCAGAATTCCTGAGCCAGCCACGCTGAGGGGAAAGGGAGAGGTTTCCAAGCAGAGCCATGCTGGCTCAGGAATTCTGGGAGTTGAAGTCCACGAGTCATAAAGCAGCCTAGGCCTAGGCCAGAGGTAGGCAACCTTGGCTCTTTTATGACTCGTGGACTTCAACTCCCAGAATTCCTGAGCCAGCCATGCTGAGGGGACAGGGAGAGGTTTCCAAGCTGAGCCATGCTGGCTCAGGAATTCTGAGAGTTGAAGTCCACGAGTCATAAAAGAGCCAAGGTGGCCTACCCCTGCACTAGAGGTTCCTCAGCATCTGAAATCAAGAAAAATGACCATTTGGGATGGGATAAGAGAAAATGTTATCGAACTATCTGGAATCACTTATCTCCATAGTCAAGGACACAATCTATTCATGTTACTTATATGATAGCATTGTGAGTTGTCCATCTGGAATCACTTTGAATATCAGGATTCCTCTTTCCATTTTAACCCTTCTGAACTCTAAAATGATTGAAACTCACATTTCGTATCATGTAGATCTCTCTTTCTCTCTCCCTCTCCCTCCCTCTCACATCTATTTATCTTTCCACTTTCCTCTCCATTCAGTTGGCCAATAATATATTTATCAAGCTGTGAAGAATGCTCATGTTGTTTCAGCCACTATTGCTTCTTAGCTTACCTTCAGACTCAGGGGGGAGGGGGGAGGAGTGGAATGTGGATTTCAGGTGCCAAAAGGCCAGGCCATAAGAACCAAGGTCACTCAAATGCTGTTTACAAAGAACTGACTTTCTCTCATAATAACTGTCTGGAGCTTAATTGGACAATGTGACCTGCACTATTAGAGAAACGGGAGTTTCTATACTTTTAATAAGCTGAGTTTGGTGCCAGATATGTAAAAGCTAGCTTTCCTTTCATCCGTGCCAAAGTGATGTACTCAATAAAGTTTTGCATTAGAGATTGGACTGTCTCAGCTGTGCTGACTTTGTTGGGTTCATCATTTGGAACCATGACAATATTTTTCTTTCAGAAATCACCTTCAACACTGCGATCCTTCCTTCAAACCACCTGCTAACTAACCTCAACTTTAAAACACAGGGTGGCAATCTTGAGACATGAGTCTTACCGGACGACGTATGATATCCTCTGTAGCACATATGTTTTGTGAACCACATCCTGTGGTTTGTCTTCATTTCTCCACCACATTTGCATGTGAGAAGCCAATATTTTTGTGAAAGGAAAGAGCTTTATAGCCTTTAAGTTGCTTTTATAGCAAATTTGGCAGGGACGCTTTGAAAGTGGCAGCACCAGCGTTGACATTCTCCAAACATTTTTTGAGGCGTAGTACCACAATTCTTCATCTGGAAAAATGTGGCTGTGGCCTCTGCTCATCATTACCATCATCTCACTTTTAAGTAATAATTTATTTCTTCACAATGTTAGGCTATTGGTTTTGGCTGAGCATAACTTGAGTTATTTAGGTTTCATGAAATCAGGTAGAGCAGGATGCTTAGGATAATGTCTAGAAAATTGGCAGTAGATTATTTGCAAGAAATTTAAAGAATCCAAACAAAAGTATTCAGTTGAAATGAAGTTTGCGTGTGTATATGTGTGTGTTTTCAGTGCGTTTGGTGATGGGCATAATGGAAAGAACATAAAACTGAAAAGGAACCTGTCCAGGGTAGCTCTCATAATTAGCATTGAAGTTTGCAGACAGCAAGAAAATAGGTCTAAGCAGCACCAAGGTTGTTTATGAAAAGCGGGAGGAGGATCTACATGTCCACCTCCCCAATTAACTTCATGTATTCACCATTATTTTCTCTTCAGGACGAAGTACAGAACAGACAGTGAACCAAAAACCTGGCATTGTGACTGTTGCTGAAGGACAATCTCTTTCTCTCTATTGTTCCTATGCAGCACGGTTTAGAGGTGAATTTGAGACATACTAGTACATCCAACATCCTGGTCAACCCCCAAAATAATTTCTGGATTTATATTTCAAGAACGCTCAAGGATTTCAAGCTACTCACATTCCCTATGAAAACAAGCCAATAGGGACTTTCAGCATGGGGAAGCCATCCATCCAGTTGAATGATTCTGCTGTCTACTTCTGTGCCTTCAGAGACACAATGTGATAAAAGTAGAGGAGAAGCCAACAAAAAACATAGAAAGGGGGAGAAAAGTAGTGATCCTAGGCTCAGCAATGAAAGTTCCTTTGGGATTAAGGTCTCTTATATCAAAATGTGCCAGCAATGGGACTGAGATGTTGAAAAACATATTAACCCTTCATGATATATTGAATTTGACATTCCTTAGTTCAAAGAAGAATGTCCATCTGGGCTGGGGTAATAGAAAAGGTGTAGGTGGTACCTCGCTCAATAGTAGTAACTATGAGAGGGATCTTGGAGTTCTAGTGGACAATCACTTAAATATGAGCCAGCCATGTGCTGCACCTGCCAAAAAAAGCCAACACAGTGCTGGGCTGCATTAAACAAGGGATAGAATCAAGATCACATGAAGTGTTAATACCACTTTATAATGGCTTGGTAAGACCAGACTTGGAATACTGCATCCAGTTTTGGTGACCACAGTGTAAAAAAGATGTTGATGCGATCCTTCCTTCAACCCAGCTGCTAAATCTATTTTAAAACACAGGATGTCAATCTTGAGACAACATGAGTCTTACCAGACAACGTCTCTGATGTCCCCTTTAGCACATATTTTTGTGAACCATACGTTGTGGTTTGTCTTTCTTTTACCACCAAATTTACATATTAGAAGCCCATTTCTTTGTAACAGGAAAGCATAGTATAGACTTTAAGTCTCTTTCACAGCAAAGTTGGCAGGAAAGCTCTGAAGCTGATAACACCGCCTTGGAAGACTTTTGAGGGTTACTACCTAAATTCTTTACCTTGAAAAAATGTGGTTGTGGTCTCTGGTCATCACCTCACTTTTCAGTAAGTATTTATTTCTTAACAATGTTAAACCATGGTTTTGGGCTGGGCATCTACTCATTCCTTTGAGTTCATTGAAATGAGATAACGTAGAATTCCCTGCAAGATTTCTGAGAAATTGGCAGTAAATTTTCTGCAAGGTGTTACAAGAGCTGCTTTAACAGCAGTTATAAACAAATTTATCATCTATCGTCCTTTTTAAAAGAACACCATAATTTTCTGTCTTCCATATTGTGCTCTTTCTGAATCCATAAATTCCCAGTTCATTTTTTTCAAATTTTCAGCAAAAAGTCCATAAAGGGTTTCCCGTTATTAATAAGTGTACTTATTTTTTTCTCCCCAATCCAATACAGTCAATGTTGCCCTCTCTGCAAATTTTGTCATCTTCCCCAGTCATTCCACCCTTGTGGGTATTTCAGTATCTTTCCATATTTGTGTGCATAATGGTCTCATGCAATCAGATGGGAGAATCTTGTCTAGACATGCCCTTCTCCTATGCCAAAACCACCCTTGCTTTTTCTTCTCCTCTCCTTCACCAGTTTCTTGTAGTCGTGTGATGTCTCTCTGTGTCTTTCAGTGTGTTATGTGTTTGGTGGTGAGCATTATGAAAATAATATAAAACTGGGAAGGAATGTGTTCAGGGTTGCCCTCATACGTAGTACAGATGTTTGAAGACTGTGAGAATGTGGTTCATAGCAGCACTAAGACTGTTTCTGAAAAGAAGCAGAAGGACCTACATGTCCATCTCTCCAACTAACCTCACGCCTTCTGCGTTATCTTCTGTCCAGGAGGAAGCACAGGACAGTCAGTGAAGCAAACATCTGGCATTGTGGCAGTGACTGAAGGAGAATCTGTCTTTCTCAATTGTTCCTATGAAGCAACATTTAGTGACTCATTTTTCACGTTCTGGTATGTTCAGTTTCCTGGTCAGTCTCTGAGATTCTTTTTGGCATCTTATTGGAACAATTCCCAAGGATTTCAAGCTGTTCACATTCCCCATGAAAGCCAACAAAAAGGGACTTTCAATTTACAAAGACGTGCCAGTCAGCTGAATGACTCTGCTGCCTATTTTTGTTCTTTTTCTGGCTTCAAAGCCTTGAGAGACACAGTGAGGCAAAGCAGATGAGAAGCTAACAAAAAATGCACAAAGGGGCAGAAAAGCAATGAAGGTGAAGTTAGAAATCAACGTTCTAATGGTTCTTTTGGGATTACGGTCCCTGAATGCACTTGGATTTAATCCAGATCAAGCTTGCAATGGAATTGAAGATGTGGAAAATATTTTTAGCTCTTGTCTATGGAGATTCTCAGTCATCCAAGCTCATGGTTGTCCCAAAAGTGCTTTTTCAAAAGGCAACTGAACTTTGTTTTTCCCTGAAGACATTTCTTGGATGATAACTAAAGAACTTAAGAAGCTTCTTGGAAATGTCTTCAAGGAAAAACGAGGTCCAGTTGTCTTTTGAAAAAGCCCCTTTGGGATTCTTAGCTCTTCAAATTATTTTGGAGTAGACGTTCCTCAGTGTTTGATATGAAGAAGAATATCCATCTGGGCTGGGATAAGAGACAATGTTATCTAAGTTATCTAAGTTAACTATGTAAAAAAGATGTTGAGATTGTAGAAAGAGTACAGAGAAGAGCAATAAAGATGATTAGGGGACTGCTAAATCATATAAGGAACGGCTGCTGGAATTGGGTATGTCTAGTCTAATGAAGAGAAGGACGAAGGGGGACATGATAGCAGTCTTCCAATATCTCAGGGGCTGTCACAAAGAAGAGGGAGTCAAGCTATTCTCCAAAGCGCCTGAAGGCAGGACAAGAAGCAACGGATGGAAACTAATCAAGGAGAGAAGCAACCTAGAACTAAGGAGAACCTTCCTGGCAGTTAGAACAATTAACCAGTAGAACAACCTGCCTCCAGAAGTTGTGAATGCTCCAACACTGGAAGTTTTTAAGAAGAGACTGGACAGCCATTTGTCCGAAATGGTGTAGGGTTTCCTGCCTGAGCAGGGGGTTGGACTCGATGACCTTCAAGGTCCCTTCCAATTATTATTATTATTATTATTATTATTATTATTATTATTGTTGTTGTTGTTGTTGTTGTTGTTGTTGTTGTTGTTATGGTTGCAGTGTCTTTGGGTCATGTGATCCTCTTTTGCAAACGTCTAACAAGCAAAGTCAATGGAGAAGCCAGATTCATTTAATAGCTGTAACATCTATCCATCATCTCTGTCTCTCTGTCTCCCCCCCTCTACCTCTATCTCTCTTTATCTCTGTCTCTCTTTCTCTCTGTCTCTCTCTCACACAGATACACACATATCAGCACTGGGAGTTGGGTCTCATACAACTCTAGCTTACTTTTAAACACTGATATTTAATATCATGTTCAGGCACAAGGTGGCAATCTTGAGAGAGTCTTCAGCCTTCATTGACTGTTGAGTTTTCTATAATACTTTTTAGCATCTTCATCACCAACCACATCCTGTGGCTTGCAGTATTTTTAAGCTGAAGTTAAAACAGGAGGAGGAGGAGGAGGAGGAAGAGGAGGAGGAGGAGGTATTTATTTTGTCCAGAATCTGCTCTTGTGTAGCTTATCTTGTCCTTGTGAGCATGCAGTCTCAAGTCTAGAAGCCATCAGAATCTGTCCGATTCTGTAAATATCTGTGATATTGGTGCTATGTCTGCAATCCTTAATTCAGTCAAATGTCCATCTTCTGGGTGTGGATCATGGTCATCGTTACAATCTTAAGTAAGTAATTCTTTTCCACGTCAGGATTAATTCTTGCACTGCATGTTCTAGATTCTTTGAAAAGATCCTTTGAAAAAAGGGTTAATTTAGTGAGATGTGATATTAGTGTTTTAGGGAGAGCACCTGTAATAGAGTTAAGGATGAGGGATTTTGAGTGACATTTCAGAAGAGAACATTTGGGGTTGATGCCAGCTTTATTTTTTTTACTCAGGACAATATGAAGAAGTCACCATCTTTTTTTTTTAGCCCCTCTTTGCATAATGAAAATCACACAAACCTCACCGTTTAATTTGACTCTCTTGGTCTGTCCCATATTTCTGTATAAAGTCCTAGTTTGGGATTACCCTGAGGATATGATCGGAATGGAAGAGGAAGGAAAGAAGGAAGGAAGGAAAAGAAGAAAGAAAGAAAGAAAGAAAGAAAGAAAGAAAGAAAGAAAGAAAGAAAGAAAGAAAGAAAGAAAGGGAGGGAGGGAGGGACGGAGGGAGGGAGGGATGGAGAGAGGAAGGAACGAAGGAGATGGAAATGTGAAGAAGGAAGGAAAGAAGGAGTGAGAGAGGGAGGAGGGAAGGAAGGAAGGAAGGAGAGATGAAGGAAAGGAAAGGAAGGAATGAAATATAAGGAAGGAAGGAGATGGGAATGAGAAGAAGGAAAAAAGTTGGGAGAGAGGAAGGAGGGAAGGAATGAAGGAAAGAATGGAGGGAGGAGGGAGGGAGGGAGGGAGAAAGGAAGGAAGGAAGGAAGGAAAGAAGAGCTGATTTCTCCAGAAGGTTAAAAAAATATACAATCAATGCCATTTTCAATCAAACAAGAATGACGTTCGAAAAACAGAGGGATGCGAGAGAGGGGAAAGTTCATCCGACTTCAACTCTTCTCCACAGGACCGAGTGCAGAA